GCTTTGTCAATCTGGCGTAGGGTAGCGTACTGTTGCGTAGTCATGTAGCGTAGTGTTGCGTAAAAAGGCGTACTTTCTGCGTCAAGTTTCTACGCCGAAAGTACGAGAAAAAAATTAAACATGTTGAATTGTTTTCGTTCATCTTGCGTACCCCTTTCCGTCCCCCAGCATATAGTAACGTAGGCCAGCGTAGTTGGTACGCAACACTACGCAACTCTACGTATTGACCCCACGCCAAATAAAGTATTAAAATATGCTCATCTGACCCTAATTAAACGCCTAAACCCCCCGAGCTTTCGGGGGTTTATGGCCCCTTGAAACCCGTGGACCCCACGCCTACACTCGACTCGCTTCGATCTACCTGATCCCCCTCGCCCCCCCCCACAACCCGTGGACCCCACGCCTACACTCAACTCGCTTTGATCTACCTGACCCCCCCCCCCCCACACTTTGAAAAATGTTTTGTGGGGTCTGCATGTAACATGTAAGATGCAGATTTTTTTTGTAACATGTAAGATGCAAAAAAAATATTTTGCCCCCCCCCCCCCCCCCCCCCCCAACGATCTTATGGCACTTCGGCCTGCCCGCTGTTGTGTTCACGTGTAGGCCTACTTCAATGAATGGATAGACATAAATAGTCGCATGGATGGATACATAATATAGCGTATAGTTGTCGAATATTGGCATGTTTGGCCCTTCATAGTCTCTTCGACTCTGAATAGCTAGCTCACTCACTCACTCAGCTCAGTCGAGCAGCCAGCGCAGCTGCACTGCACTACACACTGTATGCGTACGGCAGAGCTCTTGAAACTGAACGATGTTTTTCTCTGATTTTCTTGTGAAAACTTTCCTTTAATAAATGATAATCAAAACTGAGTAAACATGGCCAGAATAATCACAAAATAAGCTTTGATTTCATACCTCCACTCACGAAAACTATATAAAAATCCCGGCAATAATGATGGAAATAGGTCTCTAAGTTTGGACGTGGATATGGGAAGACATCTGTTGCGCTGATTTTAGGCCTAGATATCATGAAATAAGCTAATAAATTTCAAATAAAGACTCAACTCGTTTAAATTTTAAATATCAGGTCTACATTTTAATTAAAATAAAAGAAATGGTAAAGATTACAACATCTAAAATATGCAAAACAAACACGGGGAAGAAAAAAAAAACTTGAGACGGAGGCGGGATCGAACCCGTGCGTGCAAAAAGTGCAAGAGCTGCCGGCGAATCGAACGCAACCGGCGCCTCAGACCGCTCGTCCACTTCCGTTTCATGCTAGAGCATGAAATTCGTGACGGATAAGTAGGACGTGCGGACGCATCGACGACGTCGACGACGACCGGGACGTCGCACCGGGCCGGGACGTGGCCAATTCCGTAGATTGAAACGCCGTCCGTCCGCGGGACCGCCCGGCGGCGCCCGGGGGCGGGCGGGAGGGGAGATCTGGGCGCCGTAAAATGGAGCCCGGATACCCCCCTCGACGCCTTAGCGTATTATTATATGGACTAGCTGTTTGCGCCCGTTAAACGGGCGCTCTTTGCTGTGGCAGCCATTTTGCGTTCGTCCGCGGCATCAAACTTTTCAGCCTTTAGCTTCCGTAAAGATTGACATATATAACAATTCTATTTACAATTGTATTTATAATTGATTTCATCATGAAATAAGCTAATAAATATCAAATTAAGACTTGACTGATTTAAATTTAAAATATTATATTTTAATTAAAAATAAGCTAATAAATATCAAATAAAGACTTGACTGATTTAAATTTAAAATAGACCTATTATATTTTAATTAAAAATATTGATTGATATTCATAAATTTCTGTGTTTGCGTGGCGAGCTTCTTTTCGGTCATTTTCTTTGCGTACGCAAGAAATACAGCTCCGTTATTCATGAATGAGGTATCAAGTTGACCGGGATCATTGTCCGAATACCTGTAAGAAACGTCAATGAAATATATCAACCGGTTCAATTTAAAAAAATAAAAATTCAATTCAGCTCAGAAAATACAGCATCTGCTGCAATTACGGCCGGTTTTAAGCCCCAGAGTTCTGGAGAAGAAAAGGGCTAGAGATAGCTATGATTACTGATTAATTTTTTCCATTAAACATCACATCCTATTTCTACTACATCACATATATAGTCTATATAAGGTCTAGGCCTAGAATCTAGACGATTTTTATAACGCTGTTTGACCATCAATGACGCACCGTACTACCCGTTTTAATGCATTGATTTGATGAAGGAACTGTATCATAGTAAAAGTATTCTATCCAGCTATAGACAATGCCAATGGCTATGTTTTTAAACGACCGTCTGATTTTCTTGTGAAAACTTTACTTTGAAAAATGATTATCGAAATTTAGCATATATACATGGACAGAATAATCACAATCTCAGCTCAGGTTTCATACCTCTATAGTCACGAAACTATATTGAAATATAGGGGCAATAAGAGCAATTTCAAAATGTTGTCGAGTCTACTCTATAATAGCTCAGCTCAGCTCACCTCACCTCACACACAGTCACAGTTCCGACAGTGCTCGGCAGCAGAGGCGCACTGCACTGCCCGTGCCTCATGGCAGCTAGCTTGCAACTGAACTGTCAGTTACGATGAATTTCTTGTGAAAACTTTACTTTGAAGAATGATTTTCAATATTCAGTAAACATGAACAGGATAATACCAAAGTAACCCTGCTTGCATACCTCTATTCACGTAAACTATATATAAATCACGGCAATCATCATAGAATCAAAGACGAAGCGACTGAGCTGTGCGTGTGACGGTGAGCGTAGAATCATCGCATACATTACACACGTACGTTCGTACACGCAGCAGGTCCGGCTGGCCTACAAAGCATATCATATAAAAAGACGCATAACACGGGTAAGCCCAACCCGTGAGAGCGTGCATTTCTTACATCCCCTCACCCGGGTGAGTCATCTGTTAATGTGTATTTCTCTTACATGCTACAAAGCGTATCCTATAGCAAGAGGCCTAAACTCGGGGTAAGCCACAACCGTTACTACGTGATGTGCTACATCCATTGACAGAGTAGATTCTCGTCCGCTGTGTGTCTCTTTGTTGATTGCACAGAGGGCGGATGCACGCCTTGCCGACTCGCTCTCGCGGGTTCGTCGCCTCCTTGCAATCCGCGACGCCCGCCGTGCCCTCGTCCGCCCGTCCTCCCCGGGACCCCGAAACCGCCTTTATCGACGTCGACGGCGACCGCGACCGAAGATCGAACGGGGACGTGGCCAAATGGGTAGATTAAAACGTCGTCCGTCCGCGGGACCGCCCGGCGGCGACCGGGGGCGGGCGGGAGGGGAGATTTGGGCGCTGTAAAATGGACCCCAGATACCCCCCTCGACGCCTTAGAGTATTATTTTATTATACTAGCTGTTTGCGCCCGTTAAACGGGCGCTCTTTGCTGTGGCAGCCATTTTGCGTTCGGCCGCGGCATCAAACTTTTCAGCCTTTAGCTTCCGTAAAGATTGACATATATAACAATTCTATTTACAATTGTATTTATAATTGATTTCATCATGAAATAAGCTAATAAATATCAAATTAAGACTTGACTGATTTAAATTTAAAATATTATATTTTAATTAAAAATAAGCTAATAAATATCAAATAAAGACTTGACTGATTTAAATTTAAAATAGACCTATTATATTTTAATTAAAAATATTGATTGATATTCATAAATTTCTGTGTTTGCGTGGCGAGCTTCTTTTCGGTCATTTTCTTCGCGTACGCAAGAAATACAGCTCCGTTATTCATGAATGAGGTATCAAGTTGACCGGGATCATTGTCCGAATACCTGTAAGAAACGTCAATGAAATATATCAACCGGTTCAATTTAAAAAAATAAAAATTCACTTCAGCTCAGAAAATACAGCATCTGCTGCAATTACGGCCGGTTTTAAGCCCCAGAGTTCTGGGGAAGAAAAGGGCTAGAGATAGCTATGATTACTGATTAATTTTTTCCATTAAACATCACATCCTATTTCTACTACATCACATATATATATAAGGTCTAGGCCTAGAATCTAGACGATTTTTATAACGCTGTTTGACCATGAATGACGCACCGTAATACCCGTTTTAATGCATTGATTTGATGAAGGAACTGTATCATAGTAAAAGTATTCTATCCAGCTATAGACAATGCCAATGGCTATGTTTTTAAACGACCGTCTGATTTTCTTGTGAAAACTTTACTTTGAAAAATGATTATCGAAATTTAGCATACAACTATACATGGACAGAATAATCGCAATCTAAGCTCAGGTTTCATACCTCTATAGTCACGAAACTATATTGAAATATAGGGGCAATAAGAGCAATTTCAAAATGTTGTCGAGTCTACTCTATAATAGCTCAGCTCAGCTCAGCTCACCTCACACACAGTCACAGTTCCGACAGTGCTCGGCAGGAGTGGCGCACTGCACTGCCCGTGCCTCACGGCAGCTAGCTTGCAACTGAACTGTCAGTTACGATGAATTTCTTGTGAAAACTTTACTTTGAAGAATGATTTTCAAAATTCAGTAAACATGAACAGGATAATACCAAAGTAACCCTGCTTGCATACCTCTATTCACGTAAACTATATACAAATCACGGCAATCATCATAGAATCAAAGACGAAGCGACTGAGCTGTGCGTGAGACGGTGAGCGTAGAATCATCGCATACATTATACACGACGTTCGTACACGCAGCAGGTCCGGCTGGCCTACAAAGCATATCCTATAAAAAGACGCATAACACGGGTAAGCCCAACCCGTGAGAGCGTGCATTTTTTTACATCCCCTCACCCGTGTGAGTCATCTGTTAATGTGTATTTCTCTTACATGCTACAAAGCGTATCCTATAGCAAGAGGCCTAACTCGGGGTAAGCCACAACTGTTACTACGTGATGTGCTACACCCATTGACAGAAGTGGATTCTCGTCCGCTGTGAGTCTCTTTGTTGATTGCACAGAGGGCGGATGCACGCCTTCCCGACTCGCTCTCACAGGTTCGTCGCCTCCTTGCAATCCACCACGCCCGCCGTGCTCTCGTCTCGCCCGTCCTCCCCGGGAGCCCGAAACCGCCTTTATCGACGTCGACGGTGACCACGACCGAAGTTCGAACGGGGACGTGGCCAAATGGGTAGATTAAAACGTCGTCCGTCCGCGGGACCGCCCGGCGGCGACCGGGGGCGGGCGGGAGGGGAGATTTGGGCGCTGTAAAATGGACCCCAGATACCCCCCTCGACGCCTTAGAGTATTATTATATAGATAGATTGATATACCCTTTATTTAAATTCCATTTATAAAGAGCATTAATTACATGTATAGCTCATGTATGTTTATCATTCTTTCGTGTAAGCTCGAATAAGCTTCAAGGCTATATACAGTATGAATAGTTTAAGTGCAAAAACCAATATATCAATTTTTACCATTTGAAGACATTTGCAATTAACATTGTTGAAGAAATAAATATCTTCAAAATACAACTTCACATGCAATGAGTAAAATAAAATGAAAAAATCTCGGCGAATTGGTTTATGCAAAGGGTATGCAACTATACACGTAGGTTATATGCATTGCCTACGCAAAGACTATGCCAATACGTAGTTGAATTTCGGCCTAATTTTCAATACCACATAACTTTTTCCGTAGGACGATTATAATACCCCTTTAGCGAACCCATCTGAACTTCAATTGCAAGCACCCGGTGAAGGTTTTACGGGTCCTGCTAGTGAACAAGCAAGAGTGACACTTATATAGCACTAGTATTAGTATGGATAAGCTCCCAATATAATGAAAATTGTGCACTTTTTGACAAAAGCATGAAACTTCTAGCATAGCTAGTTTAGACCATAAGATTTATTTTCAGATGTGGAGGGAAGTCAGATTTGACCTCTGATGACCCTGAGAGGTCAAATCCAAAATGGCCGCCAGTCCGTATGGTCTAATGTACAAACACGCTTAACTTTTGAACCAAATAGTCCAGAAAAACGTTTTAGGTGTCATTTCAAACTAACTTGGGGATGCCAATTCATTTGGGAATACTTTTGAGTACGCCAGAACTCAAGCTTCCCCCTAAGACAACTACCCCCGGACAACTACCCACTAGGACAACTACATTTACCCCCGGACAACTACCACCCGAACAACTACCCCCCACGGCAACTGTCCTCTAGGACAACTACCCCCCGGACAACTATCCTAGGGGGTAGCTGTCCGGGGGGTAGTTGTCCCGGGGGTAGTTGTCCTAGGGGTAGTTGTCTGGGGTTAGTTGTCCGGGGTAGTTGTCATAGGGGGTAGTTGTCCTAGGGGTAGTTGTCCTAGGGGATAGGTGTCCTAAGGGGTAGTTGACTGGGAGTGGTTATCCGGGGTAGGATGTCCAGGAGGTAGGTGATAGAAGGAACCTCCCCTCCACCTCCGCCTCCTTCAGACCCCCAAGTTTTAGCATATCCAAATTCATGTGTATATAGTTGTGGTTCAGGGACAAAAGGCGTAATTCTTTTTATTATTTCATCAAAATTTTGTAGGATATTCGGCAGGTGATTGAGCAGCTAGGAAAACACAACCACTCCCAGTTCTACTGCTTCATTTTCACAATACTCACCCATGGGAAAGAGGGCTCCGTTTATGGCACGGACGAGTGTCTGGTGAGGATAGAAGACATAGTTGGTCGATTTAGTTCTGATCTATGTCCAACTTTGAATGGAAAGCCCAAGCTCTTCTTCTTACAAGCTTGTCGAGGAGGTAAGTCAAAATCATATCCGCATCGTCATCTTTTAGTGTACGTTTTTTCTATGTTGTTGAGTTGGACGTTTCATTTCCGTATGGCCCTAATTCTCCAAGCCTTCTGGGATCGTTTTATGAAACCAACTCCATGACAGTCATATCTTTGCAGTGGCGGATCCAGGGGGGGCACAGGGGGCACGTGCTCCCCCCCCCCGGCCAAAAAAAATGCTGAAATCAGCCCCAAATTCGCCAAAAATGTACTGGCAAACAGGGACGTGCCCCCCCCCCCCCCCGGCAAAAAACAAAACAAACAAAAACAACAAATTAGTGCGCACCCCACCTCTCCCAATGAGCGATTTTGCAACGGGGCGATTTTCAAATATTCGGGAGCAAAAAAAAAAAAAATGTGCTCTTATCCCCCCCCCCCCCGCTTATTCAGTGGCTGGCTGAGTCGTTGCGATTTGTTTGGATGTCCTCTTACCCCCGTGTGCCCCCCGTGTGCCCCCTCCGGGAAGAAATTCCTGGATCCGCCCCTGCTTTGTCGGCGACCTACGGAAATGTCAGGAAGTGGATAAACCGTGTCAGCAACATATTAATTATTTCGATAGTATTGGTTAAAAATATATAGTCTTTGCCATGATCGGTCAGATTTTATCCTGAATTCCCAAATTAGATTATGAGGCTAAATTTCACTCAAACTGGTTAAAAAAGCAAACATCTAAGCTAGTGGTAGCACAAATGATACAAACATCCAATTTGCATGAAAATGTGTTACTAATGATATGGACAAATGTATACAATTGATGAAGCTGGAGGTTGCTTTAGGGACAAGCGAATGGAAATCTACAAGTAATAGGATACCATTACTCATAACAAATCGAAAGAAGACCCTGAATTTTATTCAAGTTAGGAAAATAATTTAAACAAAATAGATTTCAACACTCACAGATTTAGCATTGTATCAGTCCGGACCCGGCCTTCCAAGACATTTAGTGTTGAGCCCTGCATGAACAAAGCAAAAGATCAAGCTTTACTTTGATTCAGTGTCTGGCCTCACAACCTCCTCAACCCCCCCCCCCCCTGACACTCTCCATACAGGCTTTTCCATGCTCCAGGCTTTATATTGTACATTATATTTAGGACTCAAACATAATGGAGTCTCTTTTTAGGCTCATTGGAATGAATCAACTGGTATCCCTAGGAGGCCACGTAGGTAAGATAAATTTTGTCAACCCCTTTTCGTGCCAATGTCAGAGAGACACGACCTAGGAGTACAAGCAACGGACGGTACTGCTGTACCCGCAACTGGAACCGCAGTTGACGCTCAGGTCATTTCACAGATGGATGCAGTCAACCTAGACGAGATGATACTTAGAATGGAACTAGATTCCACCGATAGCATTGCACACGGTCGTAAGGTGCCTTGTCGAAGCGACATTCTCATTACATATGCAACTGTGACAGGTGAGACTATTTTTTTTTTTTTTTTTTTTTTTTTTTGGGGGGGGGGGGGGGGGTTAAAGCTTATAATGAGTTCTATGAAAACGGGATGTACATGTAGAATGTAGGCAATGTAATTGGGCAAATGACACCACATGACCGTACATCATTCTTTCCTACCATGCCTATCATGCGAAAAAATCCATCAAAATTGATAACCCAAGGCTATAGAACTCAAAATGCATGGCTAAGATGCGCGTATGCGTACCTCTGGCGCATAGAAGCAACAATGTCAACCTTTTACCCACACTGTAAAAATTTGCTGTAACTCATGCAGTAAAATACTGTGATTTACAACAGTAATATGTTGTAATAACGATTTTACGATAATTAACTGTATAAGTACGTTGCTGTACAGTATATTGCTGTAAACATCAGTGTCGTAGAGCATGGGAACAAATATCTACAGTAAGCTAGTGTAAAGGAGCGTGCAAAAAGCATTGTGGGATACAGCGCACATGCGCATTAGGCGGATCGGCTGCATATGCGCGTATGCGTTGCACGTGATTGGCTCCCGCGCTAGCCCGCCACGCCGCGCCGCCATTTTTAATTTTCTGCAAAGATTTGAGCTGAGATATATAGCTGAGCTGGCCGCCTGATCCTGAGCAACGAATCTGAATCTGTTCTGTTCCTGGTCCTGATCCTCGAGCTGGGATATTGATGACCAATAAGTCAATTCCAAGGGGATCCGAGGTAAGTTACAGATTGCCAATTATCAGAGTCATGATTTGATTTGTATCCCGCTGAAGTGAAGAATTGTCAGACTGTGGAAAGTATAGGGATTGTGTTTGTAATTGTTCCGTCTACGGTATATGTGTACTGTACGTGCTGTGCTGTGGTGTGTGGGACCAGGGACTTGTTAGTTGACAGAGTCGGTAGTGTTAGTGCAGCACATGACACTGTACTGCAGTACCAGCGTACAGTGTCACTGTCAATGCGATGCCATTGCACATGGATATGCATGCTCACGTTAAATTGGAAATGTCTAACGTCAAGACCATCAAGACTTATAACTTATAGGACATCGCACACACTACGATCGACTACAGCATCAGTCCATCATGAGCACACTGCGTGATCAGTTGAATACGCACAAGTCTAAGCTCATGTAGTGTAGTCTACAGCACGTTACTGAAGAAATTACAGCAAAGTACTGGCAATCCTGCTGCATAGTGTAATTTTACTTAAAAGTTAAAATATGAAATAAAATTACAGTAAGTTACTGTAAAATTACTTAGTATTTTACTGTTACTTAGTAATTTACAGTAAGTTAGCAACCAAATAGGCCATTCCGTAACTGGCAGTAAGTTACTGTAAAATTACTGAGTAATTACTGTAAAATTACTGTAATTTACAGTAACTTACTGCTAGTTTACAGTAAATTACAGTAATTTTATTTCATATTAATTTTGAGTACTTGTCTACTGTAATTCACTGTAATTTTAATTTACAGTAACTGTAGGTTATATCTACAGTAAGTTACCATCAATTTTTACTCAAAGTATCTGCCTGTAAACTTTCCTACAGTAAATCACTGCATTTCTTAGAGTAAATTGCTGTTACCGTAGGTTCTTCAAATACTAACAGTAAATTACAGTAATTTTTGTCTTTAAGGATTGTAAATTTGTTTTACAGAAATCTATTGTAGTTTCATTTACCGCAAATGAATGTTAATTTCACTTATGTAGTAACATTCATAGCCGTGAAATCAAATGTTTTTTTGCTGAAGGTTTCGCATACAGTCATCATCAGGAGGCTCGTGACAACTGGTTATATTTGATGAATTTATGTTTTTCTTTCGATTTTCTTTTGTATTTTTTGTCCTTTATCTTTTTTTTTATTATTCATTTATCATTTAAATAACTTTTAATCTGTCAATGCTGTACATAAAAAGTTATGTGTACGTATGCATATTAAAGGTATTGTTTTCCGCTCTTCTTTCTTGCAGTATGCCATGGATTACTGCTGAAGTCACACAGTGTGCATGCTGAAACACTAATCAGACGGATGCTCTACATGGACATCATATACCCATGTACGTTTGTAAGCTATGTAATCATTCTTCTGGATCATTGAAGCGGTTTTCTGAACACTTTTCAGTCCATAGAAATGTGGTGAATTTCGATTTCCCGTGTGGTGTTCCTGGCTGCAATCGAACATTCAGAAATTATTCATCCTTCAAAACCCATGTGCATAGGGATCATCAACCATTTTCAAGAAAAAAAGATGCCCAGTTTTTCTGCGTTTCTACCTGGAATTGTCCACTCTGTGCTGTAAAATGTGAGGAAATCCATGACATACTTTCTCATCTTAGAGTTCATATCAAACACGGAGTTGAAATACGCTGTCCTTTTGCCAATTGCAAAAAACGTTTTTCAGTGAGGTCGTCTTTTGCGTTCACAATAAGTTAGACCAGATTCAGTTAGACTCAACTTCAAGTGAAACTGGTACTGTGTTAACTGAATCCGCCCAAGAAAATAATCAGGAGTTTCCTGGAAGACTGCACTCAAGTGACGAGGAAAGTGTGACAGATGATGAAGTAGATGTATCCGCTGACTCATTCAAACACAGCTTATCCTTGTTTTATCTGAAGTTGGAGGCAAAATTACTACTGCCCAACTCTACAATTCAGGAAATAATTGACACAGTTCAGGATATTCATGCATTAAGCCAACAAAATTTGATACCAAAATTAAAAAAGAAACTTGAAGGAATAGGAATTACCGATGATGAGGTTACCAACGTTTTAACTTTATTTAAATCTGAGGATTTGTTCAGTGCTTCAAGTTGTAAAGAATTTCGATCAGAGTCTACAAGAAAATCACATTTTAAAGCAGTTTTTGATTATGTTTCCCCAACTGAGATATATTTAGGAGAAGATCAGTTTGGCAAACAGCGATTTTGCCAATACATTAAAATTCAAGACACACTAAGAGCATTATTCAAGCAGAACTCATTTATCAAAGATTACAAAGAGACTCATAAAGCTCAACCTGCTTTACAAAGGACCATTCTACGTGATGTTTATGATGGCAGAGCATTCCCAAAAGATGAGCCTTTGCATAAAAACTCAGCAGTAACACTCATATTGTACCAAGATTCTTTCGAAGTAGTAAATCCACTAGGCAGTGGGAAAAAAAAACATAAAATTCTAGCTGTGTATGCCACCCTCGCTGATATACAGCCCTACAATAGATCAAACATTGATCATATGCAATTGGTGTTGCTCTGCAACGAACAGGATTATAAGGAATTTGGAGCCAGCGCTGTTTTTAGTCGTCTCATCAGTGACCTTCAGTCATTAGAAGATAGTGGTATTATTCTGGATGACGAAACATGTGTTAAAGGTACACTACTCGCAATCGCAGGAGACAATTTGGGGTCTCATAACATTGGAGGTTTTACCGAGAACTTTAGCAATTTTATTTGTGTCTTTTTGCCCTTTTTAGACATTTGCAAATGTTATGCTTGCAAAAGGGATCATGTACCTTTAATATGCATTTCAATTGAACTTAATATGAAACATCACAAGTGAAAATTGAAATTTGAAATCAAATATTTTGTTAGTGAGGGAGGTTAAAAAAGTCACGTGACTTCGTGGTATTAAGGAAGCCGTGTGTTTAGCCTTGATGCAAAGAGACCAACTACAGGGAGCCCAAACTTTTTTAATAATTTGTGTCTAGCGGTCATTGAACTTCCTAGACAAAGCATTAGCACATGTATTCTGTGAGCCTGGCATGTGTGCAGCCTTGTCATCATAAGCATTGCTTGATTGTTTACTTACTGTTTTCCAAAATATGTTTTACATTACTTGCAATTTAGCATTATTTTACCTTAGTGAATTTTCATATATTTTAGTCTGTACATGCAATACACCTTTATTTTAATAAATTTAATAAGTCATGAAATAAATGAATTTGCCAAATATTAGGCCTATATTTAAGTAACCTATATTTTATTTCGACATATTTCAAGTTATATAATAATATATTTTTTTTAAGTAACTTATATTTTATTACGATATATGTTACGTTATATGGTAATATGTTTTTTTATCATATTTAATACGTAGCAATATTGTAGCTAAACGAATTTCATAATTTTATGTTTTCATTTTACATGTACACAAATTGATCATATTTTCTATTTTCTTTGTTCATTGTGCACATTGGTAATTCTATTTCATTAATTTCTGTATATCATGTATATTTTCTTATTGTCAAGTATGTTTTACGGTTTTTGTTATTTTGCACAGCCCCTTTGTAAACCAGCCGAGTAGCTGAATAGGGCTTTTACCGTCAATAAATCAATCAATCAATCAATTGAATGACAGCTCATGAAGTTGAAACAAGT